TTATATAATTCAAACTCAGGTTTTTATTAAAAGAAAATTATCGCGAAATTACTTAGGTTGTTGGTAGTAATATATAGGAAAGTTAGGTTTTTTTTAAAATAATAATTATTAATAGAGACAAAATTAGAAAAAAGACTTTAATGTTATATTGAAAATTAAAATTGTTTAACACCAATAATACTTATACAATTTTAAGTAAACAACTGATAAAATTAAAATTAATTTTTGTTTATATAACAATTACTAAAAAATATAAATATAACTAATGCACCATTATCTTGGAAAAACCCATGAAATGGGCCTAAAGTGGCATATATCAAAGTAAAAATAGAACTGAAATTGTATCATTCTACTAAAATACACACTTATGTTTAAAATCTCTTTTTCAATTATTTGAATAATTTAATAATAATTTACTTCTAATAAAAATAAAATATATTAATTATGAATCATATAACATATTAATAGAGTGGGTTAAGAAATGGGAAGAATTACCTCCCACCATCTAAAAAAAAAAAAAAAAGTCTAGTTATCTTTAGTAAGGGCATTGAAGGAAGTTAGAATATACTACTAAAAGAAAAGAAAAGAAAAGAAAAGTTCATCAAAAAGAAAAGAAAAGAAAAGAAAAAATCGACAAAACCGGCTGTAAATTGTCACTGCATTAACTTTCATCAGTAACTTTTTGATTGCTCTGACATTTAGAATCTCACTGCCATCCATCCATCCATCCATCTTTATTAATCAACCCAACCTTTACAGAATCATCCAATACCATGAAGACAAATCCACCCACAAACTCTACATTCCAACGGTCATTTAAGATATTTAAGCACTCGGGAAACCACTTCTCATCTCATCTCATCTCATCTCATTTCAAGAAAGAGCATAGTGTTTACTAATTCCAGTTCTGAAAAAGATTGATAGTCCCTTCAATAAAATTAGTAGTTTAATAAATATGGATATAAAGGACATAGCTTAAGTTGCAGTGATAATCAATTTACATGAAGTATTATAAGAGTTAGCATTTATTTTAATATTATTATGTGAATAATTTTAACTAATTAATTAATTAAAAGTAATATTTATATTTTTTATACAAATTAATAAAAAAACACAATAAATACATCTTTAAGGGTATAGATTAGAAAAACCAAATAAACATTCATAAAAGGTGCTACTACTTAACAATAATTTTTGTCTACTTTTTATAACATAAAGGCATAAGTTAATGGTTTACTAATTATATTTTTATTAATCAATTATCATAGAAAAATAAAATTTTTCTTAAATTTTATAATATAAGTTAAGAGTATATTTATTATACATTTTTTATACTAATTAATAAGAAAAAAATAAAAATTGATATTAAATTTAACAATTGTTTAATTAAATTTATCCAAATGACAATAATGCTAAAATTAATGTCAAATTTCATTTTTTATGGTATTGAATTTTTTTTATATAAATAAATACTAGAAAAATACACTAAATGCACCCCCTAAGGGTACTAGTTAAAAAAACTCTTAATTTTATCAATTGTATAATAAAAATCATCCACATTTTATTTGTGTTGAAAGTGAAGTTAGTTCTTGTACTTTCTTATATGAATGGATTTTTCTAACATGAGCACTAATAGTTAATGATACGTTAATTATATTTTTTTATTAATTGTTATATAAAAACCAAAATTAACTTTAATTTTATCAATCGCTAAATTAAAATCGTGCACATGTTATTTATGTTAAAAATAAAATTAATTTTTGTATTTTTCATACAAATTAATGAAAAAAATTATAATCAACACTCTCTTAACATGTACTCTTAAACAAACCTTATATAAATTTATAAAAAATATATAATTAATATACTCTTAATATATGCCTTAAATAAAGATGAACGATCAACAAGGTTAAATACTTTAAATAGCAGTTTTTTTTTTTCCCCCAATCATTCCTCATCAATCCACTTGAATTTTGGCTCAAAAAATTGATCCAATTGGTGTTAAAAATTGTGCATGTATCATTGATTTTAAATTCGAGACATATGGTGTGTGCATGAGATGAGCTAGATGCGAAACCTTTTCATATTGCAACTCGAAATTTTTATGTCTATATTAAGATTTTATTTTTTTTTTATTTTTTTTTAAAAAAATTTTCCATTAAAATTTTAGAGCCAATTTAATTTAAGAGAAATGCATAGGAGAATGAAGAACTGGTTTCTTTCGCTTGGATAAAAACATTGGAAGGCAAGAGAAGAAAGAAGCTTCTTTATTTACTATTTTTTTTCTTCCATTTTCTTTATTCATTTTAACCTACCCTTAATTTTACTGAAACCAACTAGCCCCCCACCCCCCCTTTTTTTAGACAAACAATCATGCCCTTTAAATTTGTTCACCGGTGGAAAAATAATTAGTGCAATAAGGAGGACCCACTCTTTGTGGAATACTACATAATAAAAGGGTCACCGATTTACTGAGTAATTTACTAATATATATATATATATATAAATGAGAGTCGAAAATGACAAGGGCCAAATGGCAGATAGAATCTGGTGCATGGATCCCCGTGGCGTTTAGGAATGAAAGTGTCATGAAGAGTTTTTTGATTTTTTAAAAAATATTTTCCAGATTTGGGTGTGGAACAGAGGTCAGAATTTTTTAGGATAAAATTTGATTGTTTTGGGACTTTGTCATTTCATTTGGTCATTTCCATCAATCAAAACCTGAGATGGATAACTTGGAATATAACGCAAATGCTCTGTCACACTCATTTCTTTCCCGGGTAAAACAGTGTTGTTTTTTTTTTTTTTAATCTTCACCATAATTTTTTTTTGAGTAATGATATACGGAACGATTTTGGGGACAAAATCACGGGACAACAAGTGAAGCAGGGTTAAATTAGTAATTGCTGTTCGAACCGCTTCACTTGTCGTCTTGTGATTTCGTCCCCAAAATCGTCTAGTGTATCATCACTCTTTTTTTTTTCCCAGGTACACGTGAAAGGTTCTCCATTGGACCTAAATGGAAAGGATGAAAAAGATGGGGATATAAAGTAAAACAAAATGTGAGAAATCAATGAAATTCTATAAAGAGAATTGTTTGTGTGATCAATGGGAGAGATTTTGAAGAGATTAAGTTTGGAATCAGTTAATGCTGTGATTAAGACCAAATTAAGAAGCCTAAGATATATGGGGAACATGTCGACAAGGAGCATTGTTAGATATTGTAAATAGCAGTTTCTTCCAATCATTCCTCATCAATCCACTTGAATTTTGGCCAGGAAAAAAAAACACACTGGAATGTTTCATCATTAATTCTTCCTTTGTGTAAGAATCAAGAAATATAAAATATGTATCACGATCTTATCATACAAGTTGCTATGCTTCTTTTTTAAGGATCCATTTTGCAATGTCAACATTCAACACATTTTTTCTTAGTGTCGGCATTCATAATAGAAAAGAAAGGTAGAACTAGTACTAGTAGGAATCATCCGGCGTCTCTTTTTTATTTTTTTTTCTCGGTCTCACACACATGTTTATTGATAAAAATTTATAAGATTCATTGGCATCAACAAAGATTACAATAGAAATCCTAATGAATTTGAACCATATAGGCATTTCGAAGTTAATCCATATATGACACAATACTAATAATAGAAAATTTTAGGGGTTGTTTGGTTTGGAATTTCGTTAATAACTATTAGTTATTGATTGTAATTGAATGAATTGATTATAGGCAACATCCCGAATCCACTTTTAAAGTATAGTAGTAATGACGGATCTACTCCGAACAAAAAATGAAGACAAATCCACCTACAAAGTTTTTGATTTGGACAAATCACCTCAAATCTAATATGTAATGTCATCTGATATCAACAATCCATTAACAATGAACTTATAAATGATATAACAAATTAACGAATTATTGATATTAGATAACTTCACACATTAAATTTGGGGTGATTTATTTAAATTAAAAGTTTTGTGGGTGGATTTGTCTTCATTTTTTGTATAAAATAGATCTGTCCCTACCACCTAACTTTAAGAGTGGATTTAGGCATTCTACCTAGATTATAATCGAGCAAATTGAATACTTTTATAATAACAACAATCATTAATCATCAAATATCAATGATCAACTATCAATTACATTTAAATAATTGATTCAAATGAGTTCACTTATTATGACAAATCTAAATGTATAATTAAGTGAGAAAGGGTCAAGTACAATTAGTAGAACAATCGCTAAGGGGAACAAAGTCAGCTAAAAAGACTATTTTATTGTGCATATGAAGCAGCTAAAATGTCCTATATAATACTCTAGTTTTTGGGGCAAAAACTTTTGGAAACCTATCTATGATTATGTTATCTAATGCCGAAGTTAGTGATGCATTAAGTTGAGTCTAGTTACCCATATCCATGCTGTTTCTTTCTCTACGGAGGGGCAAGCATGCGGCAAAAAGGACTTTTTTTTTTTTTTTTGCCACTGTGGAGCAATTGAGATATTTTGTGGTGATGGTGGCAGCAATTGAGATTAGGTGCACTGAAAACA